TGGCTCTAGCCGATAGGCTAGTAGTAAGCTTGGCTACAACGAAGTGTTTACCAAGCGTGAAGGAAAGGACCTTCGCCACTTGAGCCGTATGAGGGGGGAACTCGCACATGCGGTTCTTTTGTGGGGGGTGGGGGGGTGGGGGGGGGAGCTAGTAGGAGCCATCCCAACCCAATAGCACTTGATCATATCACGATCTGATTTGTAAACCTACTTGGGTCTTGAGTATTTACTTGTAAAAGCAGAATTATTTGTTTTGTAATGGATAGTTGCAAAGGAAACTGCAAAGTTGAGATTGAGACTATTGATATTGTTTTAGGGATAGTAGGTCAAAATGGTTACTAGTTTAGGGTGAAATGAAAGATGAGAAGTATGTCTAAACTATCAAACCATATGAATATATCAAAAAACAAAAATAACCAATTTCACTCGGGACTCTATAAAATTATTAGGGAATGGAACAAACACCTTGTTCAAATAGTTCAGCTGCAAAAGGCAAAAGAAGAGGACAAATACTATGAAAAACCATGTCTCAAAATACTTGAATTGATTTTGTCCTCCAAATGTGAGTTTCATAGCCATTCCAATTGCTTTGACACCCATAACCTGAATTAACCATAAGAAACAGCCAACAGATAAGATAGAAGGAACTGCACACCTAAAACACTGGAATATAGTATATATCATAAAAAGAGAACAACATACCGTGAGAGAACCCGCTAGAGAACAGATTCCAATGTAGACAACCAAATGCGACTGCCCATAACGAGGCACAAACCGCACAATAAGGATAAGTACTAGAATCATAACTGTGAAAGCATAGGCGAGGAACCCTGTTCTTATCAAAAACCTTTTGGTTAGTTCAAATAAACAAAACATATAGATATTCAAGTGAAGATAGCAAGTATCTGTTTTATAATTTGTGGATCCAACTGTTACTGTACTAAATCTTTAGCCATGTTAGTATGTTTACTTCAGGTTCGATGTGTTTTTCTTAGTCTTTTTAGTCTTTTCATAAATTTATATGCCAGAAGAAAATATAGAGAACTTATAGTACTAGAGAAACTTTATTCCTTTTGTCACATTTTATCTTTAAGTAATATATTGGACCGAGATGAGCCTAAATACAAAGACATGAAGATTGCGGATTCATATAGCCGACCTGAACTTGCTTGGGATTGAAACATAGTCGTTCTTGTTGTTGTAAACATAAGTTTAAGGATAATGGAAGAATGTAACTTAAGTGTACCTGGCTCTGTTGCTAGGAACCAGACATCCTTAACAGATTGAATACTCTTCTCTAGCGGTGCGTGTAAGACAATAGTGACAGAGCCAACCAAACAGAGGAGACAACCAACCATACCAAAGATATGTAACCTCTCCTTCAAAATAAAATGGGCTAACACTGCACTGCACATGAATGTTATATCAGTATTGAACCAATAATAGCTTCTTTGATTAACAATTC